AGAACAATGGCCCATATCTGACGTGTTTTAATACAGACATGGGATCGGAACATCAATAATCGATTTATTAGCGAAGCGCATTGGGGCTACAGAGTTTTATATGCACTTTTTCGTGGGATCTAGTGAAACTCACTAAAAACTTCGTTAGGAAATGATGAAACCGTTTTCTACACAATTTTAACCAAGATATTAACTAAAATTTCGTTTTAATTGGTAATTCACAAATTTGTTTGCAAGTTACAATGAAGTAAGACTTGTAGTCCTCACCTTATACAGGGTGTTCCTTGAAAAAGGTCATAGAGGGCACGCACTAAAATGAGCAACTTTTATTAAGCAACTGATGATTTAAATGCTTCTGTTTTCGAGAAAATGAATTAAGAAAATTAACCATAAATGTAAACCGACCTTGTGCATCTTGTGCACGTGCATGGCCATAATACTTCGGACTCACTAGATGCGTGAAGCGTTTCTCTAATTGGCTAAAGTTCCACCAAACTTGCATACACAACCCCACAAAAAAAGTGGGAGGTCCGAAAGACAAGACCATGGGAGCTATACAGGGCGATTCAGAACTTATTAAAAAAAAATGTTGGATGTACAGGGGACTCTTACAAATTCAATTTTGTAAAGAAAAAATCAAAAATGGCAGTTCGAAAATGATTTAAAAATACAAAATACACAAAACGGACAAAAACTTCGCAAGGAAAGAAATAAATTATTTTATAACACCTATTTTATATCAGCAAACACAACTGCATTTGCCGCTATTGTTATTATTATAATAAAATTAATTTATGGCTTTAAATAATAAAATAATTTGACATACCTGATGTTACATCTGTTCAAAATTTTGTCCATACAACACATATTTGGGTCTGTCTTACTCAGTTTTTACAAACGAACACTTTGACTTGCTTCACCATAACACAAATGCTTCAGCATAATACAAATGTTGTCTTGCTTCACCATTATTTAAAACGATATCCATCAACTCCGAGTTGCTATACACGCAAGCCATTTTTGACACTAATTACTAAAAAACTTTTGTAAAAACTATCGCAGCGACGCTTGTAAATTCGGATTTCAGTATTCGGAGTCACTGAAGCCACGTGGCTCTCCACGCGTATTGTGAATGACGCTAGAGACTACAGTTGTCCAGCTATGTAATGGTTGAAAGTACTACAACTTCAATCATTTTTCTCTCGGAAACTAAGGATTTTAAAAAATGTTTTTTGATTGACTTCGTTTCTCGTGCCGCATCTATTCCCAAATTTTTTTGGAAAAATTGTCAATCATCCTCTATGTTTTTGGGGTAGCTCCGTGGTAGCAATATGTTTCTGGGGTCGCTGATTCCGAATTTGCTGTCCATTTGACCCGATTAGTTCTGATTGAAGGTCAAATAACTATTTATTTGACAATTGAATCTATAATCAATTGCCAACAAAGTAAACCTGCATATCTATATGTTTTTGGGTCGGTGAATCCGAATCCGGTGCTCGTTTAATCCGATCAGGTCTGCGTTAAGGTCAGTTCAAGGTCAAATGTACAGAAGCATTTGTTAACAAAGTGAACCAATGTATCTATACGTTTTTGGGGTCGCTGAATCCGAATTCGGGGTCCGCTTGATCCTATCATGTACAAAGATTTCGGGCATTAAATAACAATGACTTTCAGTCCTGTGTGGAATTTTGCCAGTGGTTTGGCATCAAATAGCACAAGATTCGGATTTTACAAGCACGTATGCGGACTAATTTTTACCGTCGTTTGGAAACATGTTTATGACCACATGGAAACAACCTTGATCAGTTTTTGTAGAACATATCGTCTATTGGTAAGTAATTATTTATTCGTTTAATATTTGTGTAACTTTTAAACGAGATTAAAACTGCCATCAGCGCTTTCGCACTGCGGCGCGCGGCAGCTTCGATATCAAAATTACACCTGGCTGCCGCACCAGGGACGGCTTTAAATTAGTTTAAACCTTCATGTGCATTTTTGTTTCAATTTAAAACGTAATGTTTTAGAGCATCAATAGCTTTATAGAAGTTGCTCATTTGTCCCCTCTGTCACACTCCATTGCATGTGCTGTGTTTTGTGGATTTGCCCGAGTGTTTTGGCGACGCATGTTGCTTGTTAGTGAACATTTTAGTGTCTGAGTGTGATAGCCTATGGCGCGGTGTTGCAGATTACCTGTGAGGTAACAGCACTTAGAAGCTGCTGATATCCTCTTCATAGTCTAAGAGATTGGTGTCAAAATCCCCCGTGATCGAATTAATGGCCAATTTTGTTTTTAATGTGCTGGTCGTATGTTGTATAACAGGGTTTCAGAGTTTGCCGACACCCCTTGTGGGGCAGGGGTTGGGGGTGCGGGGGTAAATACGAAAATCGCCTCGTGATCAGATTAATGTCAGCAACTCATAATATATATTCTAGACCTTCGGGGGAGTAGGAAAATGAAAGTTGCTGACAGCCTAGTTGGGACAGGGGCGTTTAAAACGGGGTCAAATGTATCACTTACCGAGCGCGCAAACTGTATGCGTAGTCCAGACGGTATCTGTTTCGGGTTGAGTAAAACGCATTAGATCGGAGATTTTTGCTTTAACGGCTTCCAAATAACATCAAAAATAATAATTTTTCTATGCAAATAAATAAAACGTGGGCTTAATTGTTATTGCAAGAAAGTATAAAAAATAGCAAAAAAATTAATTTTTTTCTTGGATTTCTCGTCGACAACTTAGCAACTATTCGTTTTAGACATAAATGGAGGAGGAAAAAAAGTTTTGTAATTAAATTTTGATCATGATAGAGTTAGTTGCACTTCCAAAAAATAAATATTGTTATTGCAAAAATCGGAATAATCATTTAAAAAATGGCAAAAAGTGCTAGTTTATTTGTCAATTTTTTTCAGACACTTGAATAATATCTAGGATCTTCATGCTTTTCCCAATTAAACTTCTTACTGCATAGAATCATCACACCAAATTTCATCTAATTCGGTTCGATAGTTTTTACATAATACCTAATTGTTTAATTTTTTTTTTTTTCAAATTAAAAAATGTTCAAAATCAAATTTCTAAAAATCTAAAGGCTTTGAATACTTGAAAATTTAGCTCAAGCTTTAAAATGATTTTTGAAAAATTCAAGTAGGACGATTAGGTGAGCCGTGGTGTTGTGATTTTCGCAATTTTCACGCTTATAAACAATTGCAATACTTAATTTAATGTTTTTTCAATTTTATTTTATTTTAAAATATGGTTTGAAAGTACTCGGAAAGACGAATATTTAAAAAAAAAACCTGATGATCCGCCCATTATTTTTGGAGTTATAGCCAGTTAAAGTTAACCCTTATTTACAGCAAAACTATAAGGATATAAGGGCTGTTTTTTTAACTAATAGGTTTGTCATTTTGAGTACTTTCCAGATATAAATTTTCAAAATTTGCAATCACGGGCGTCCCATTTAAAATGTCACTCAAAGATATTCAAAACCACGTGAAATCAATGGGGTATCAGTAGTGGGGGGAGCAAACACACAGCTACTCCGATCTGAATTCTCGAGTTCAAAACTGCGACGCTCGGAAAAATTTCACTTATCTCAGCTTCTAATGGACCAATTTCGATGATTTTTTTTTAATCGATGTCTCGCAACTTAAAAAATTCAATTATTACATTTCAACTACCTTTTATTATTAATTATTTGACTTTTGACGTGCCGATAAACAGTTACTTTAAAAAATGATTAATTTATTATGTTTATTTATTTACTATATTAACATAGTAGGACAGGACCAAAATTTTTGCATGTTGCACCAGGTAATACTAGTAAGTTTGTTTAAATATTATAAAATTGTTTAAACAATAATTATTTAAATAAACAACTGAAAATTGGTATTAATTTTTAGTTGTACGATAAATTTCTAAAAATCTTTCGAAAAAAATTAATTGTGAATAATTATAATTTTAATTTTTTCGTTTACTTTTAAAATATTTATATAAAAAAGTATAAGAATATTTTGGATACTTCAATAAACAGCACACTTTTCATGATTTTTCGAATTTTAAACTATTTATTTAAATTTTTATTTACATTTATCTACTAAAACATTACATTAAGTATTGCAAATGTTTATAATTGTGAAAATTGCAAAAATGTTTAAACAATCACCACGGCTCACCTAATCGTCCTACTTGAACTTTTCAAAAATCATTTTAAAGCTTGAGCTAAACTTTCAAGTATTCAAAGGCTTTAGATTTTTAGAAATTTGATTTTAAAAATTTGTTAATTAAAAAAATTTTTTAAACAATTATTATGTAAAAACTATCGAACCGAATTGGATGAAATTTGGTGTGATGATTCTATGCAGTAAGAAGTTTAATTGGGAAAAGCATGAAGATCCTAGATATTATTCAAGTGTCTGAAAAAAATTGACAAATAAACTAGCACTTTTTGCCAATTTTTAAATGATTATTCCCATTTTTGCAATAACAATATTTATTTTTTGGAATTGCAACTAACTCTATCTTGATCAAAATTTAATTACAAAACTTTTTTCCTCTTCCATTTTTGTCTAAAATGAATAGTTGCTAAGTTGTCGACGACGTTAAAGCAAAAATCTCCGATCATATGCGTTTTACCCAACCCGAAACAGATACCGTCTGGACTACGCATACAGTTTGCGCGCTCGGTAAGTGATATATTTGACTCCGTTTTAAACGCCCCTGCCCCAACTAGGCTGTCAGCAACTTTCATTTTCGTACTCCCCCGAAGGTCTAGAATATATATTATGAGTTGCTGACATTAATCTGATCACGGGGCGATTTTCGTATTTACCCCCGCATCCCCAACCCCTGCCCCACAAGGGGTGTCGGCAAATTCTGAAACCCTGTTATACAACATACGACCAATACATTAAAAACAAAATTGGCCATTAATCCGATCACGAGAGATTTTGACACCAATCTCTCCGTCTTTCATAGGAGAGCGTCGTTAACAAACTCACCATGTCTTGGATACTCTTTACTCTAATCGGCCTCCTGGCCCTCCATCAAGTAAGTGTTTACCGGCGTTTCGGAAGGATACGCATTTCCACGGGTTTTCGTCTGGATGGCGCGAGACAATGAAAACACTAGTACATGGTCAGTGTCTCGAGCTCGTTTATGTTTCCCTTTCAAATTTCCGCGACACTTTTTCCGAAATGAAATCTAAATTATCCTAACATTTCTAAACAAAAAAAAATCAGACATTCACACCGCCAATCCGATGTGATTCACGTTCTCAAAATAACCAGAACTCACCACACAAAAATTCTTTTAACCCATCGTTCAATTTAAAAACACATCGTGAGTACAGGGTGTTCTTCCATAGGCTAAATCATCCGGACTATTTGAATTGCGACTGATTTCATTTGACAACGAGGCTGGCAAAGACGATTTAGGGAAATGTTGCACCGAAAAAACCAAACCCAACTCGGACTCGTGCGATGGAGTTTGTAGACCACAATTCAGGGTTTGCCTGAAGGAGTACCAGGGCAAGATCGACGCCACTTCTCCCTGCACCTTCGGGGATGTTATCACATCCGAACTGGGACCAAACCCCGTCACTGATACTCCACAGAACGGATTCTCAAACTCCATCGCTTTCCCATTCCCATTCACTTGGCCGGTAAGTCTCTTTTACTGCCCGATCAAAGTTGCCAACTTTTTACGTTCTAGTACTATGCCTCGCGAATTTACTACACTTTTGAATAAACACCTACTTTATTTATGTCCGACCATTAAACATTGTTGCTTTATTCGTTTTTTTAAATTAAGATAAAAGACTACTTTCGGTATAGCGTAAAACTAAACGACACCTTTAAATTGGCGTACGGTAATTATCCAGTACAGTCATTCCAAATCTGCAGTCATTCGCTTTGCTTCGGGAACGCAAGTATGCCTGAAACACCCTGCATAACTACACATAAAATTGATTAAGAGCTGTTGTAAAGTCGCAACTTCTTGGGCCCCCCATCCTCCAAAGGCATAATTTAAATCAGAAGGAGCATAGCCAGCGATAATTTCATTCCGATTTTAATATCTGCTCAGTCCATTTCCTCTCCGTAATGGAAGTCGAAGGGGGCCGAGACCGACATTAAAAGAATTTCTTTTCCCGTTCGTTCCAGGACCGGAAGAGACCCGGAATAACTCGATATTCGCGATTTTATCGCATGGCGGATTGTTTATTTGTACGGTCCGATGAATAAATGACGATCGGTGTATTTATCTCGGCCACCGGAGGAGCGAAACAGGGGTGGGAAGAGCCTTCCCACTCTTATTTCGTTGGATACCGCGTAACCTATGAAACAAACAATTGATATATATCCATGTTTCCGTTTAATTGCTTATTTGCGACATCCTGCTTCAATTAATTTTTATTTTAAAAATGTTGAATATTCTGTCACGGTTATTATATAGATAATCCCTAGTTAATATCCCATCCATTAACGTGGATTTCCGTCCAGGTCGCCACAGTCGCACCCCGAATCGATGACCCGGCGCGAAAATGGGTCACTCTGTCCGAGAACCAGGAAAATTGATAAATCCGGTCTCCTCCATAATTAAAGGCCAGCGCAGCTCCGTCTCTCTCGCTCGCCTTCCGGAGGACTAATTTGTTTGGACTCGACAGGCGTAAGAAAAAAATCAACATCGGTCTGTTCGGAACACTTGTCCACGACAACCTCAGACGGCTCGGTTCCGGCCGCGGGTTAATCGTTGAGAAAACTTGCGAGTTGAATAAGCGTTCGGGAACGTGGGAAGGCGCCCGAGAAAAATCGGACGCCGAAGCGTGCCCCTGTTCGCATTTTAAAACGGGATTGATAGATAAAACTTTCTTAAGTATAATAAACAGTTTTATGTGCCATTTCGGAAGAGATCTAGTTGGCTTTAGCCGTACATCATTCTTTTGTTTTTATGGCGGCGAACGTCATTTCCTGCGCTAAGCAAATTTGATTGTTTCACATTTAGACATTCACCAGCTTTTGTGCGTGGGAAATGCAATAATTCCCACTAACAAATTTCATGTGGAACCTACGAATCGATATCAGTAAATATAGAGTCAACTAAACTCTTAAAAATTCATGCAGCGGCCAATCCGACCTTTGAATTTCTCTGACGTATACCCTTCGTCATCAGCGGTGTGGTGCTATATTTGGACGCGTCTTATGGATTTCCAATACCAGCGTGTTTGGTCCCGAGCTAGGTGTCACCGTAAATTCTGAGCTCCGATCGGGTAATTGTTGGCAAACAATGAGACAACTAGTGCCAGAGATCCCCAGATACAACATAAATAAGAGACTTGGCGGGAGCCTGTCGGGAGAAAATAACGAGAGCGGTGCGGTGTAGGTAGGTTTCGTTACCACACTCGTTATCGTTACGACATAGTTTGAAGCAAATAGTCACTTTATGTAATGCAGAATATCGGCAGTGTTCTCCTAAATTTTTCATTTATCCATATCCCAATTTTTTACGTTTATGCATACTCACGATTTGTTAGGAAACAAGTGTAATAATAATACTTCCCACATGACTTTTTTGAGTGGGAATTAAAGTATCATCCGATTTTTTGGTACGGGTGTAAAATTTCCCACAATAATTTGTGTCAAGGAATATGACTTCCAACGTTGATTTTAGTGGGAATAAACTTGCATTAATTTTTAAATGGGAATAAGAAATTTTTGTTGTGGGATAGTGCTACCCGCATTAATTTTTGTAGGGAACAGGACTTCCCACATTAATCGCTATGGAAATAAAACCTCCCACATGAATTTTTGAGTGGGCATAAAACTATCCACATGAATTTTATATAGGTCAGTACTTCTTACATTAATTTCCCTAAGGGATAAAAACACAATATTTATGGAAATAAAACTACATTTTTGTATAAAAATATAATTACCTACATTGATTTTTATGTAGAAATAAAACTTTATATGTATTTGGTGTTGAATATGACTCCATACGAATTTTTGCTGTTCGATAGTAGTACACTCATTCCTATAGGCAGGTCTTCCCACATTGATTTCAATGCAGGAATAAAACTTCCCACATTATTTTTCGGGAATAGGATCTCCCACATAAGTTTTAAGTGTAAGATAGCACTTCCTACATTAATTTCTGAACTTCCCACATTGATTTTTCTGTGAAATTAAACATCCCACATTTTTGCCTGGAAATGAAATCTATATGACTTCCCACACGAATTTTTGCTGTTCAATAGTAATATGCTCATTCCTATAGGAAGCAGGACTTCCCACATTGATTTCAATGCAGGAATGAAACTTCCCATATGATGTTTCGGGAATAGGATATCCCACATAAGTTTTAAGTGTAAGATAGTATTTCTTATATTAATTTCTGTAGCGGCATAGAACTTTTCACACTGATTTTTGTGAGAATAAAACTTCCCACATTTTTGTCCGGAAATAAAACGTATATGACTTCCCACACGTATTTTTGCTGTTCAATAGTAGTACGCTCATTCATGTAGGAAGCAGGACTTACCACATTGATTTCAATGCAGGAATAAAACTTCCCACATGATTTTCCGGGAATGTGATCTCCCATATGAGTTTTAAGTGTAAGATAGTACTTCCTACATTAATTTCTGTAGTGACATTTTTGTGCGACAATAAAACTTCCCACTTTTTTACCTGAAAATAAAACTTATGCGCTTCCCACACGAATTTTTGCTATTCGTTAGTAGTACACTCAGTCCTGTAGGAAGAAGGCCTTCTCGCATTGATTCCAATATAGGAATAAAATTACCCACATCCCACATGAGTTTTGAATGTAAGATAGTACTTCCTACATTAATTTCTGTAGGTATAAAACTTTCCAAATTTTTGCCTGGAAATGAAACTTATCTGACTTCCCACATGAATTTTTGTGTGAAATGTAAATATTTTAATTACTTTCATTTATATGTGTTTTGGTAAATCTCACATACTTAATACATAATTATGAAAACGACTCCTAACCAAGGCCGTGTTTTCTTGAGAGGTCTAGTCTCGTTTTCTTAATATCCTCAACTCTGACCCAAGTTTTACGCCGTGTTCGTTACAAAACTACTAAAACTAGCGCTAAGTAACTAACCGGCCGCGTGCCATTATCCGAATATCCCGGCGAGATAAGGACACAGTACATCCACGCCGACAAAGTAAATGCAACAGAGCCGCTCACTAATCAGTGTGACCGCTACAAAGGCCCAACTTTACGGTGGCGGGTCCACGCTATCCATTGTCCTGCGGGCAGGAGCTTCTTCGCGCCTTTCTTATCTGGGTCGGGACTTTATTGTGGCGATCCCCTTGTCCTGCAAGGTCCCCGCTACTTTTGAGGCGGTATTTCTGAAAATTATTAATAGGAGCACATCAGTACTAAAAAACAAGAGAAAATTACATATTTATATGGTTTTTAAATTTCCGTTGTTCATATTATGTGTTTTAACAGTTTTTTAGCGGTGGGAAATACTATTCCCACATGAGAACATATGTGGGAAATTGTATTCCCACATATGGTTATAGGACCGTATAGGACGATAATGGGATCGTGAAAGCAAACTTTTCGTCCTACCTGTGGATATTTCTTGTTGCCTTAACAGCACTTTAACGGAGAAAGTTCCCGACAATGTAAATACCGCGGCCGACTCGAAAAAGTGCTTTAATTTTAATTTCAATTAAGTTGCTCCACCCGCAGCGTTACATCTCGCCTCGTTCTGCGGAAGAAGTTATTCAAAACTTCCCCGAAAGTTCCGATGTCATTATTCGAATAAAATTCCTCCTAATTCCGTTTTAATTTAATATCTGTTTTGTGTAATGGACAAATCCCCACCTAATGTTCCGCTGTCGGGCGAACTCGCGCGTCTTTTTGTGGTCGCCCCAGGGACTGTGACAGCAGTAAGTCCTCAGTTCCTGCACAGAAAGCACTGATTAATAAGAATAATTATTATAATTATGTGAGGAGTTGGGAATGGAAAGTTAGGAGTGCGGATGAAAAGAAAAACCGCGGAAAACCACCTTTAAATTTATTAGTAGAGGGAAAGTTACGCGTGCTTTAATGAAAATGGCGTTGAGTCATACAGGTGTAAATTTTCCCACAAAGCATCTCTTTCAAAATAACATATAAAAAGGTATTTTCATACGTCCTGGCATGAGAAACTAATATTTTGTTATTAGTTTGAATATTTCTTTGATCTTCCCACATAGTACTTCTAACGAAATATGGGAAACAACACATTTGCAAACATACGGAAGTGGGAGGATGTTATTCTAATATTCTGTTGTGCCACTTAGATGGTACTGTTTTAAGCTAAGAATTAAATAAATTTTAACCCTGGATCGCGAAAGTTATACGTAAGTTGACACGTTTCGCCGTATACTTCCCACACACTGAGTTTAACTTTGTTATGGCCGATATTGTAACGTTTCCGCAGCACAATTGTTCGTCGAGGCAATTTTTAATTCGCGTCGCCGTGTGAAACCGGTTACAAAGCGCGTAGGGCGCATTCGATTTCCTATACATCAAAAAAACGCACCGCGGTACCGGGAAATCGCGTTCTTCGCCGACTACGTGACTTTGGCTTTGTGCGCCTCTTCCGGATCAACTTATCACCTTTTTATTTCCACCTTCGACAGCTTTTAAAAGGTGCAGGAAGTCGGGCAATCGAGGGTGTCGGGTTTGTGTGCTCTGTATCAACATTTATTATTTATAATGGGAGGGAAGCAGTGTGGGTAAAATCTCTCTAATTTTAGTTATAATTTAACTCTATCCTGGCTTTTGCACTCCAATGCACAGTGTTAGCAAATCAAAAAATAATAACTGTTATTAGTTTTTGTGGCTTGTAGGTACTTATCGTGCCCCTTTGCAAAATGTTTGTGGACTCTCATGTGCTTTAAAATATCATTCAGGTCAGTTGGCCTTTTTCACTAGTTACTTTTTTATTTCAAAAAATAAGATAGAATAACACAGTCCCTTCTTTATAACCGGAACATAAGTATATTAATTTGATAAGCATTGTTTAGACAACAATTAAATATCTTTAGATATAACGAAGATTTGTAATGTGCCGTTCATTTCGCATAATGTTCCGATAATATGTTCACTCTGCACGCGCGCTATTGAAACGTTCTACTGTTAGAAACGCCTCTTTCTAAGCTCACTGAGGGGTTTTGGCATCAGTTTAGCGAGTTTTTGAAACTAACAAATCCCTAAGCGCGACAGAAAAAAGTAAAGCCGCGTAAATTACTTCTCTGTGGTGAGTAACATAGATTTAAACAAGATAATGGCTTTTTCTGCTGTTTAAGGATCGACTACAAGCTACAAAATCCATTTTAAGTTCCGAAGTAAAGAATATTGTGCTTTTTGTAAATCATAGCTTGTTGTCTTGGTTAAAAGGTATTAAAACATCTCTTTTTAACCACGACTTCCTATTTTCAGAAGCTGTGAAGACCATTTGTCTTTATTACTTTGATTTTGATATATGGTTTCTGTTAAAATTATATTTCAACTCTAAATATGCAGAAGGAGTAGTAAGGATATGAAACCATGTTGCTTGGAAAATTAAACTATATTTGTGGGAAATATATACAGAGTGGAAAGCTTAACTGGAACAAATTTTGTAACTTAATAAATAAATGTTTGTCACAAAATTACTGAAACACGTCAATTTTTATTTTCAATGGGGCATAAGGTGGATTGAAAGAAGGGACCCAATTGAGTGGCCAGCAAGATCACCCGATCTTACCCCATTAGATTTTTTTTAAGAGATATCTGAAAAGCAAGATTTATGATACTAAATTTAACGATATCAACAAAGAATCAGGGATGACATTAGGCAAGTAACGGGAAAGTGTTTGGGATGCTTTTTATTATCGATTAGGGTATTGTCAGCAACAAGGTGGAGGGCACTTTGAAAATTTTTTGCATGAAAGTAGTTTCAGTAAATATTTCCCTATTTTATTTTTTTCCGAAACATTGCTTATAAAAAGTAACAAAAAAATTCGTAATTGTATTTGCAATTGAAAAAGCTGTAAAATAAAAAAATAATAATCCATGCATTTAAAAAAAAAGTTGGAGGTTGCTGCAAGCCCTCACATAATTAAAAAAATAAACAAACCTCTTTGTAATACGCCCCATTGAAAATGAAAATTGACCTGTTTCAGGAATTTTGCCACAAACTTTTATTTATTAAGTTACAGAATTTGTTCCAGTTAAACTTTTCACTCTGTATGTAGTATTTATTCCCAATTTTCACACTCGAGTAGGCAAGACGTTAGTTTTAAATATTTAGATGTCATCTAGTGGAAGAATTTTTGTCTAATTACATCAAAATTTTCCAGTTAAAGGTTTTTCTTTCCTTTTTATAATTTCCTAGTACCATAAGATAATACTGAGTATTCTCTGCACGGAAATTGTAATGTGCCGTTCATTCCGCATATTGTTCCGATATGATTAACCTGTGTGCGCGCACTTCGAACTTTCCATCACAGAATAATATGTAAACTAGCTGTTGTCGACACTTTGATATCATTCAGCCGATTTCGGCATCCTTGCATGATTTGCTTTGAGTGTCTTATAGTCCAGTCACTGAAGCATTTTGGCTACCAATTTTTTTGGATGGAATGGATTGACGTGAAATTTGAACTGTAGCTAGGGAATAGCCCAAGAAACAAAAGTTATATAGGTAGTGCCGATGTGTACTTTTACACTTGGGGTGGATGCCACCCCTTCTGGAGGGTTGTTATTAAAAATAACCTCACGATTCGATAG